ATGTGATAAGGCACCACGGCCTCCCCTCTCAGATAGTGTCCGACAGAGACGTTCGGTTCACTTCCAGGTTTTACCGGTACCTGACCGAGAGGTGGAAGATTCAGCTCAACATGAGCACTGCGTACTATCCACGGACGGATGGCCAGACCGAAGTCATGAATCGGATTCTGGAGGATTACTTACACAGCTATACGCGTTCTGACCATAACGCGTGGGATGAACTATTAGCCATGGCCGAGTTTGCAATGAACAACTCGAAAAACAGTTCCACCCAAGAGACCCCGTTCTATCTGAATTACGGGAGGCATCCAAGGAGTCCCTTAGCTCTTGGTGTGCAAATTCGGAAGCCTTTAAAGGGCTATGACAATCCGAATGCCCGCGGCTTGGCAGTGGCCATTGAAAGGGCACAGCAGCCTTATTTGAGGCAGTCTGGTACACCCCTTGTGGAGGGATTACCAGCAGTGACACGATTTGATCACCGTGTCCAGACAGCACTGAGAGAGGCCAGGGCGTGCTTGGAAAAAGCACGAGATAGGCAGTCGAAGCATGCTGACCGCCATCGGAGGGATGTGTCGTTTAATAAAGGAGATGGCGTCCTCCTTTCGACACAACATATTACCCTCAAGCACCCTGGAACTCGGAAACTATTACCGAGGTGGATTGGGCCCTTCACCATCCTCGACCAGATAGGTTCTGTCACATATCGACTAGAACTCCCGGAAAGCATGCATAGGATACATCCAGTATTTCATGTATCGAAAATCAAGCCTTACAAGGCAAGTGGCAGAGTACAGCCACCCCCAGTACCTATCGAGATCGAAGGTGAACTGGAGTATGAGGTTGAACGTATCCTTGACAAAAGGGTTAAAAAGCGTGGGAGTCGCAAAAACTATGTTGAGTACCTTGTCAAATGGCTGGGATATGGACATGAGCATATTATGTTGTTATTAACAGCTGGGAATCAGCAAAGTTAGTTGCAAATGCACAGGAATTGGTTCAAGCATTTGAAAATGGCAGAACACCTGTGATGCGAATGCAAACTGCATGAAAGTACGGGATGTACATACTGAGAAATGCTCATGTGTGACTATGCTTTGACAGGTTCTCCTGAGATGGGCCCAGAAGAACACTGGGTACACCGCTCCCCATGCCAAGACGCAGTTCGGACACATGAACGCCATGTCCGTTGCGATCTTGAACGGAGAAAGACTAGACATTGATGAACCGCTCGTGCCGGCCTCTCGTGGAGCTGGGCAGGGGCGTGACCGCGGGCGAGGACGAGGTCCCGCACCGGGCCGGCGCACACCTGCATGGGCATTTGGTTGTTCCCATTATAGGGGCCGCAGATCATAGGCCGGGAGGTCGAACATTCCAGCCATGTGGCTGAGGAAGAGTTTTAATAAGGGTTGTGCAGACCGGGAGGTCATGTAAAAACAACCACTCTTTCTCTTCATCCTTCACTGTGTAGTGTTTCACAACTGGGCATGTGGCAAATCGCACAGACAGTTCTATTCACATACACATAAAGTTTCTGCTCCCATATCCACATATTGGGACGAGGACGCCCCACCTCCCTGAGGGGGACGAATGTTACGCGCACCGGCCTGACGTGGGGGACGCCCTACTACTGGCCCTTGGTGTGGGGGACGCCCTGCCCAAGATCGTATTATATTCCTTGTCCTACAATAACCATTATACTTATATGGATATGGGAGTAGGAGGGGTGGTCCCGCCTAGGTCCCCGTAAGGACCTAGGTGCCCGGCGAGGTGGGTCCGCGGCTCAAAGAGGGCAGGAACCCCACACCCATAGTCTTTTCGTATCACTGCCGCATTTTGCACTCTCTTGGTAGCCGCGATCTGGTGAGCGGCCGCTGTGCGGGGCGGCTTGCTGGCACGACGAAATCCAGCCTTTCCCCTCCCGCACTTCTGCGCGCGCGGCCCTGCACGTCTGGGCCAGGGCGCCGCTGCGTCCCAGATTGACGCGCCCTATCCACCCACCTGCGCAAAGTGCTCCTCAGCGGGGCTCCGAAGGCTATCCTGGGCGGCTCTGCGCGTGCGCCCTGCCGTCTTTCCGCCCGCGAAGAGGACCGCAGGCGACGGAAAGCACTCCGGCGATGCCCAGGCACCCCTCCGCCGCCTGTGGGGGAATCCTCAGCCGAGTGGAGACCCCGAAGGCTGCCCTCAGCGCCTCTCTTCGCATGCACCGCCATCTGCATGCCGCGCTTTGCATCCCGGGAGGACCGCAGGCGACCGTCCGCTTGCGCCCGCCAGGCCTGATTACTCATGGGGCACGGGAGCGTTGTGCCCATCAGTAATTGGCACAAGGCGCCCTTGTGCCGCCCTTGTGCCATCAGTGCCCAGGAGTTGGCTACTTGGGAGGCCCACATTATGGGTATGCGGAATTGACGGAATGTAATGGAGTGAATGTGTTTAAATTGGGATTATGGCCATTGGGAGGGAACTTTGGACGGCCAACGGGAGTGTCCGTTGTGGGCACACTTGGATTTGGTGTGAATGGCACTGCTGCTACGCAAACTGGGTATGACTGGCTCAGTGAGAAAGTGTTTGGCACAACTCTTAAAGTTATGGCTAGCTTATGGGCAGCGACCCTTGTTTCAGGGCGCGGTTGGTGATAAAGTCCAGGAAACCGAACTGAGCACAGTTTTGCACGGCTGGGAACGCAGTTTCGAGACGATCCGTACAAACGGGGAACTTGGGATTAAAGGTTGGCGAAACGAGTGTGTGGCTATCTCGTTTTTCGCTCCCGCCCACCTCATCCCAGGTTATTGGCTTGAATTTTAATGTAAGGAGAGACAATTGGCAAACTGGTGTGACGGCACTCGAAGGTGTTAAAAGTGCAGAGATTCTGCGTATGTGTTCTGCAGTTTTAGAGTAGATGGTCAGGCGCCCCGAGTGTGCCCTCCTTACCCGAGTTAACGCAAAGAAGAAAGTCTATAAATGGGTGGTCTTGAAAGCAACGCGCCATAACCGACCACGTCACTCCTTCAAAGCCAGCGCAGTCTTACCAACCAACCAAATGTCCGACCGAGTAGAATCGATCGTTAATGGAGCTCGCCCCCGCGCCCTGTCAGACCCTCTGGGGTGGTAGACAGACTCCACCGGGTGCTCTTCCGCCCAACACGACGCTGCCGGCGATGGGAAGTCGACAAGAAGCCCCAACCGACTGGGGCAGCGCTTTCGCGAGAGGGGCGGAGGCAGGCTGGCACCGACACGGCAACTAGCACGACCAGAGGCACACGGATCAGACAGGAATCAACGGACTCAGCGAGGCTCCCGCTCACCATGGAGCGCCTCGTATTTGTATTAAAACCAATGCATCAGTACATCGTTATTGTCTTTGGTACTGTTCCCAACGTTCCCAGTACAACTCCGACTAAGAAAAGACTCTTTCCCATCCAATACACCTCATAGTGCGCCTGTCATGGATCAGATCATCCCTCGATCAAAACCCGAGCATGGCGGCGGCACGCCCCAAACACGGCCTGGCCATGCCCCAAACACGGCGCCGTCACGCTCCGACCCCTGACAGCTCATCAACAGTTAGTCACTTCAAGTCCTGCCTGCCCGAGGATCGTTCCTACGTTACCATGACGCTATCCCATCGCTGACTGAACGTATCAGTAACTTCTTGTCAATCGATCGTCTGTCCGCAGCTCGGCAGCCTCCGACATCATATCATCGTCCTCTCGCAGCCGTATTCCCGCCTTTGCCGTCGCTCAGTACGCCTCCGAAGATGCGACATCAACTCCGATGCCTCCGATCGTCCGTACACCCCATCGTGGGACACCGCGTCTGACCGCAAGCAGGCGGTGTGATTTCGATGGGCACCGCGCACTGCTGTGCAGGCTGTAGTCGCAGATCAGGCTCTAGAATGATAGGAATCAGTCCTTGGGTCTGACGCAGAGGTAGTCTCAGTCAGACAAGCTGCTCTCCACGCTGCCAAGGCGGACAAACGTGGCATTTTGGCGACCGTAGTTAATCCTTGTACTTGGTAACACCTTGTAAAGAGGTTCCATTTCCTTCCCAGTACTTCGCACGTCGTTTAGTCATACTTGTGCCATGGCGCCGGCACGCCCCAACCTAGAGGTGGCCACCTGGATCCGTTAATAGCGGACAGAGGTTAATTCCGCTAATTATTCTGTTAATTAACAGAAAATAACGGAAAAAGACAAAAATTCACCAAAAATTAACGGATTTTTGGATTTTTTGGGGATTTTTGGGTTTTAGTCATGCTTATAGTTTATGGAATTCGCTATTAGAGAGTATGTTTGTATTTTATTTCAACCTATGCATACTAGATTTTCAACTAGCCGCAGTTGTTGTGATTTTTTGGGTTTTTTTTCGTTTTTTTGGGATTTTTTTGTTTTTTTCTGAAATTTTCTCCCTTTTTCTATAACGGAATTTAACGGACAGCTGATAAAAATTAACGAACCGGATTTAACGGACCGGATGGCATCTTGAGTGGCCACCTCTACCCCAACCATGGCGCTGGCACGCCCCAACCATGGCGCTGGCACGCCCCAACCATGGCGCTGGCACGCCCCAACCATGGCGTTGCCATGCCTTAACCATGGCGCTGCCATGCCTTAACCATGGCGCTGCCACCCTCGTTCCATGGCTTCCTAATCCTAATAAGTGCAGCTCTTATCCTATAGTTTCTTCACTTAAAACTTCTTCCCCTGTGTTATGAAATCACCCCTTTTTGCCCTCTTTTCAACCCTTTTTTCTTGGTTTTTTAATCAATGGCCGTTGCATAAATGGCCTTGATTTGAGGTGATTTCAACAGTGGGCAAGGCCCCCCGAGATTTAAACCCCTTACCGTGGGCATGTATTGGATGTCCGCCCAACTTTTGAAGAAGCACCCTTGATTCAGAAACAGTCCGGCGGTGCTCAACGGAAAACGTTACCCCAGCGAGGAGGCCTTCTGGGCGGGCACCACCCTTGTTGTCCGCCGGGGCGGGGGTCGGTGCGGAGGTCCCATGGGCCCCTGCACGCCCTGCCAGAGGCTCTGGGCCGCGCTCGTTCCCACACAGGGCCGCCTCCTCGCGGCGCGACGCCCGGCCTCCCACCTGCCCCCCTTACTGCCGTCCTCAAAACAACATCCCGAGCCCATTCGATCGACCGCCTCGCTCCCCAATGCCCCCGATTCCACCGCCGCCTCCAGCGACGCAAACCCTCGGCCCTCTCGCCAGCCCTCTGCGCGCGACGGCGACTACGCGCCGAAATCCGTGTCGGAGTGGGTCGCGGCCAGCGGGGGCGACGCGAGCCGAGTGGAGGTGCGCGCTAGCAGCCCCGCTCGCGGCCGGGGGCTGTTCGCTATGCGGGAGGCCTCCCCCGGCGACGCCCTGCTCCGCGTCCCCATGCGCCTCGCCCTCGAGATCTACCCATTCGAGACGCTGGCGTCGGCGGTCCCGCCCCCCGGCGACCTGGCCGACCTGCTGGGCCCCGCCGCCAACGGCGCGCTCAGGCTGGCGGCCAAACTCCTGGCGGAGAAGGCCAGGGGACCGTCCTCCCCCTGGTGGCCTTACATCGCCTCCCTGCCGGCAGCCCTGCCCAACCCCGCGTCCGCCATCGCTGGGCTGGACGTTCGAGATGTGGAGTACCGGCCGGTGCTGGAGGCCGCCTACGACCACGTGCGGCTGGTGGAGCTGGCCGGGGGGTGGGAGGGCCTGTGGCGCGCTGCCGGAGCGGGGATTCCGGACAGAGGGGAGCTTCTGTGGGCGCTGGCCGTGGTGGAGTCGCGGGCGTTCGGGGACGGCTTCGGGCGGGACGTCCTGGTGCCCCTGGCGGACTTCATGAACCACGGCGGGCTCGTCGGCAGCGCGGAGCACCCCGAGGCCAATGTCACCTACGGCTGGCGGCGGCTGGGCCACGGCGCGGGCCCCGGGGCCTGGGAGTTCGTCGTGCAGGCGACGGGCAGCATCGCGGAGGGCGGGGAGCTGCTGCTGGCGTACGGTGACCACGCCAACGAGGTGATGCTTTTGTTCTACGGCTTCGTGCCGATGTTCAACGCCTGGGACGACTACCGGCTGTTCAGCTCGCCGCGCGATGCCTTCGAGTGGTGCTGGTCAGTGTTCCCGGGGGAGGTGGCCGCCGAGGGGGGCAGGGCGGCGCTGTTCGACCTGGCGATGGACTGCGCCGCGGCGGACGCCGCGTTCGAGGTGATGGACGGCGGGGAGCTGAGGGCGTGTGTGCTGCCCAACGCCGCCCTGCCAGGGCCGTTTCGACGGTTTCTTGAGGCCCTGTTCGGCGGCAGCGAGGCGGCGGCGCGGCGGGCCGTGGCGAGGGCGTGCTGGCAGCGCTTGGAGGGGCTGTCGCCGCTACTGGCGGACCTCTCGGCACTGTCCGGAGGGGGGCGCAGCGACGGCAGGGCGTTTGGGGCCATGCTGGACCACTACTGCACCGAAATAAGCGCTTACCTAGACAGCATCGGAATGGCCGACCACGCCGCGAGGCGGCGCGCCCTGCCGAGACGCGCCACGCGAACGGCACACGACTCTGGTGGCCCCTTGGCGAGTCAGAGCGACCGGGGGCTTGGAGCAGGAGCGCGCCAAGGCGGCGGAACCCGGCCTGTAGTTGAGGGGGCGTCCCCTTTGGTCGGGGAGGCTGCGACGTCCGGCGCCACTGGCAATGACCTCGTGTTGAGGCTTGATGCGCTGAAGAAGACATTGTTATGGGATTTCGTTCTTGACGTGCGACCTTCGCGATCCCAGCTGGGATTGTGAAAAGAGGCGCTTTTGTTCCATCTGTATTCAATGTCCAGTGCTCCCATATAGAAAAATCTTAGATTCCTAACAGCCGCCCCCGAGGTTGGTAAATTTCTTCCATTTTTGGTAGAACAAGTCGAGAGACTGTAATAGTTGAGAGCATGTGCAACTTCTGTTGTATTGCGTTCCTTTTCTTATTTTCGAGATGGCTGCCAGAAGCACCGATGTTGGAGTGTGTATCACGCCCACAAGGACCACGAATGCCTGATCAGTGCTCTTGCGCTCCGGGGCTGATGCTCTGAATGCAGCTCTGCCTTTGGGATAATATCAGATGCACTATAACACATGCAGACAAGGAATGCCTGGACCAAGTGCAAAAACATTCGCAGAAGCAGCACCCTGTGACAACCTTCCCCATGGAAGTCCTTGTCATAACCAGGTGCAAAGGCAGCGCTTGTCACATTCTGACAAATGTACTGAAAGTCACTGCAAGAACCCGTTGTTGTCATGCACGTGCGTGTCCTGTCATCTGCAGACACATGGGTAGCCAGTCGCCAGAATCGACACTGGGAGTCAACCTGCCATCGCAGGGGTTCCAGCTGCGCACTTCCTTTGCTGCTTTGATTTCGGTTGTGCAAGATAGAGATCAACAGAGAAGTTACAATAACACAGCCCCAAAGTTTCGAATGGTCACAAATGGCTACAATTCCGTTCCACACAAGTGTGGATTGTCTCTGCACACAGAGTCCTTGTACATGTTCTTGTGGGTTTGAGGATCGTGAATGATGGTGGCAGGCCTGGGGCCATCTCCCTTCAGGTGTTCTTGTAGCCACTTGGGGTCGTTCCACGGAAGTCTGTTGGTTGCCCAGAGGCCGAATAAAACCAAGGCGGCGACTGCAACTGCCAAGACAAACTGCCGAACAAACTCTCTGCCCATCGCCCTCCACAACGACTCCCTCTCTAGCGTGTTTGACGTTGATCGGCTCTTCCTGCGGCCCCATTCATTTTCCGGCGCCGCCCGGCCCAGAGACTTGTCCTGTTTGTCTTCCTTGATCTTCTGCTGCAAGACCGCCTCGATCACGGCCTCTTTCGCTCCCTTCAGAGATTCCTCCAGGGAGTGCTCCACCTCGTCAAAATCGGTGCTGCTGCCGCCAACCAGCTCGTCAAAAATGATCTTCGTCCTCCCGTTCTGCCGGAGGGCCGCCTGCAGCCGCCTCAGCTTCGCCAGCACGCCCATGATCTTCTTGTCTGACGAGTACTTTTGCACCGCCGTGGGGTTCCGCGTGACCTCCTGTATGGCCGCCATCACCGCGTCGCTCCCCACGTCCTCCTGGAACCCCTCGTCCTGCCTCAGGCTGTGCAGAGCCCGGTGGCAGTTCAGCTTCCGCATGAAGTTCCCCACCTCCCCGATCGCCTTCCGTGCGCCCTCGTCCAGGTGGTCCAGGGACCGCAGAGCCTGGTCTGGCGCCTCCGCCCACTTCTCGATCTGCGCCATCTGCTGCCCGTGAGGCAATTTCGCAAACTCCCCGATCCGCTCATCCCCCCAGTCCATGGGCTGCGCCTCCGGGGCCGGCTCCGGCGCCTCCCTCTTCTTCTTCCCCTTCCTTTTTGCCGCTCTCTTTTTCAAAACCGCGGCCGCGGCCTCCCCCCCCGCCTCCGTCGCCCAGTCCAGCGCCGTCTTGTCCTCCCCGTCGACCGCCGATGGGTCCACGCCGCTCTCCAGCAGCAGCTCCACGCACGCCGCGGACCCGCCCACCGCCGCGCTGTGCAGCGGCGTGACCCCGCCCGGACATTGCACCCCCCCAACCTTGAGGTGCTGCAGCATCAGCCCCAGGCACCCCTCCCGCCCCATCCCCGCCGCCAGGTGCAGCAGGCTGTACCCGCGCGGCCTGTCCGCCGCGTCTGCGCCGTTCTCGACCAGCAGCCGCGCGGCCTCCAGGTGCCCGCCCGCCACCGCCTCCCCCAGGGGCGTCAATCCCCTCCCGTTCCTCAGGTGCGTCTTGGCGCCGCCCATGAGCAGCTGCTTGACGATCGGCGCGTGGCCGCCGCGCACGGCCAGGTGGAGCGCGGAGTCGTCCCGCGCATCGTAGGCGTCCAGCCACGCGCCCTTCTTCACCAGCGTCTTGGCCACGTCCCCTCGCCCGCCCGCGCAGGCGTAGTGCAGCGGGGTCCGGCCGCCCGGGTCCTCGGCGTCGATGTCCACGCCGCGGGACAGCAGCAGCTGGACCACGGCCGCGTGGCCCTTGCGGGAGGCGAAGTGGATGGCGCAGATGCCGGCCTTGTCCCGTGCGGCCGCCTGCGCGCCCCCGCCCAGTAGCTGCTCCACGTCGGCCAGGAAGCCGTGGTTGGCTGCCAGGACGAGCAGCTCGTCGCGGCGCCGCTGGGAGGCGGCGGCCTCGGCCGCGGAGTCCATTGCCGCGGTGTGTCGAGCTCGGCGGCCGGTGGGCCCGCGGCCTTGTGTTTTAGGCCTCCTGGGCGATACGAACTGTTGTTGCAACGGCACGGTTATTGTTACCTAAAGTTTCGGATATTTCGCGCTCTTCTCCCGCTCGCGAGTTGTTTGTCTTCCGTGAATATATCCGTCGCGTGAGACGCCTCGCTTCCCCCGTGCCTGGATGCCTGACATGCCCCACGAGAACTGTCGCCTCATTCCCCGGAAACACTCAACAGAGGGCGCTGGGGCCGTTGAGCAGTCAGTTTATGGCCGCCGCTGGCCTGCACAATGGATGCGCCGGAGCGCTGGACTCCGGACCACAGATGGTTGGTTGGCGTCAAGTTGCTCAGGGCGGTCAGCAGATCGGTCACAGCGGTCGCTATCGGCCGTCTGCATCTTGGCGGGGGCCTCAAGGATCTGCAGCTTTTGAGCCTCTGGCGGGTGCGACTGGAGGCAACCGCCGCAGCGAATCACTAGGGCGGCTGCCACACGGCCAAAAAGGTTGCCACCAAATGGCGTACGGGAGGGTAACGTGGCAGTGCCTGAATCGGATGTGTTCTTCAGATTCGATTGGCGCGATGGATAGCAAATTCGCGGGGAAGTCCTCGTAAGGCAGAAACGCTCGTGAGAAATGAATTTTCGCGCACAGTTGAGCGCAATAAGCACGCGGAAGTTTATTCATGCGAACCTATTTGACTCCGCAGTATATCAGGCCAATTCACGTCGCCATTCGCAATAATCCAGAGGAACGTCCACTTTCGGTACCGTGTGTTGTTGAATATTTCGGCAAACGACGGGATCTTGCCACATTTGGCCGAGCCACCAGATAACAGAAACAACGTTCTTGGGAAAAATGACGGCCAATGGAATGTGACGAAGAATAGGCGATGCCAGAAATTCTGCCTCTTTGGCGGTGCCCCCAAACAATCTTTTCGTCTCTGCTGACGCCCATTCAACTGTTGGGTGCGAACTGAAAGCGTTCTAGCAAAGAAGCCGATAGCATGGGAACGCCCCACAGGAAACCAGGTTTTGATCATTCACAGCGAGGACCCAATGTCGGTGGCCCATTTGAATGGCATCCGCCAATCGAAAGGGGCCCGTGGCTCGGCGCTCCCACAAATCGCCTGTACCCCGACGCGAACAACAGATCACGCCTGTGGAACGCCACCCATGACGACGTGCGCACAGACTGCTTACTGTCCGCGCATTGATCTTCCTGAACTGCGCAATCCAGCGCGCACGCGTACCCGCTCCCATCCAGTGCCGATCCAGGATTGTCTAATACCTATCATTTTCGGATAAGAAGGTCGTGAAGGTCATGAAGGGCACAAGGGCCGTAAAAAACTGAAATTCAAAAGTCATCAAATGACCTTCGTCCCAAAATGACCTACGTGATATTCACGTCGAAAATGAAGCGTATCGGACATTTGTGGAAGAAACGCCAATGCGCCACTCCCCAGGGCCGGCCTGTACGTTCCCTCGCTTCGGCAGCCCCTCCAGACGCCATGCCAAGCGAAAATAAAAAGGACACTAGGCAACGCTGGCTCCTGCTTGGGCCCAATACCCTGGACCCTTCGCAATGTCGATGCGAAGAATTCAAAATGCAGAAACAGTCAACAAAGCACGTTAGGATGTACACGTGGATGGCCGGCCAGTTTTCGCATAGCAGTCGCTTGGTGACGCCAAACCTGCACAGCATCGTCGCTGCCGCATTTCGGCAGCGCGAGACGCGCAGCCGGGAGGCGGCAGCCCACCGAGGTCCAGATTCGTGGGAGCGGGGGGACAGGATGGGGAAGAAAAAGAAGAAGAGGACGCCGGAGGAGCTGTACTGGTGCTACTACTGTGATCGGGTGTTCAAAGACGAGGGGACGCTCATTCTGCACCAGAAGGCCAAGCACTTCCGATGCCCAGCGTGCACGAAGAAGCTGAACACGGCGCAGGGCCTGCAGGTGCACTGCGACCAGGTGCACAAGATAAACGTGGAGAGGTGAGGCACAGCCGTCGCGGAGAGCACGGCCACCAATCGTCCACCGAAGTCAGTGCTGTGTGTGACTTGCAATTTGTCCAACGCTGATCGTATTCGGCACTGGCTGCGATGGCCTGGGAGTTCTTTGCAGCGAGAGCCGGGGGGAGCTCGCTGTGGTGCGGTTAGAACGCCTTTACGTGCCCTGTGGTTTTGCGCCCGCTGTAAGGCTGACCGTCGCCCCATGTGTTTGGGACAGGGTGCCGGCAGCGAAGCCCGACAGAGACTCCATGGACAGGGAGATATTTGGGATGGCGGGAGTCCCGGAGGGCATGAAGCCTGGAGGCGTTTTCGGTACAATAGAAGTGGCGGAGAGCACTGTCAAAGGACGCCTGCAGTTTAACAATGGGTAGCAGTGTTGGGTGGGGGTTTCCGGTCAGCAGTAAGTTGAAAACAAAGCAGTAAGTTAATTCCACATTTGTGCTTCACTGCTCTTGCACCGCTGACCCTTCCAGTTGCAGATCTGCGCCAGCAGTAAACCACTGCAAGTAAGTGGACAAATTTTGGTTCTAAGTTGCTAGTCCAATTTTGCAAACAGGGTTTGTGGGGGTCCCCTGGAAAAGCTGCGGCACCCTGTGGCGGTGCTGAGCCCCTCCGGACGGGTTTCCTGCTAGCGCGGATCAGCACATGGGCCGATCTCAACTGCGTCACTTTTTCTTCTGCAGAGTGGGCCAAGACTGCAATTCCTTCTAGCACTGTAAGTTTCTTAGTTAGGCACTGGTGTTGCTGTGCTGTGTGGCCTTGGATTTATTCTCTCTGAGCTGATGAACACAGGGAATTCAAAACAATCACCACCTGTTAGCAGGTGCTTTAGCAGGCAAAAATGCTGCTCCCTCCATATGCCATCCCTTCTGTGCAGTATCACAAATACTGCCAGTCCCAACATTGAAGCGGATGTCCTGTGGACAACCTTTGACCCTTCCACAGCATGCAGTGAAACCATGTTTCAGAGCCTATGCGAAGCGACACGGGTCCCCACAAAAGCAGGATTTCACTGTGTGCTCCTGGCCGTTGTTCTGGCTGTTACGTCGCCAGTTGCAGCTGACAGGTGTGAATGTACTGTAGATGAGCCACCTGCCAAGAGGGCTGCTTTGGAAAGAGATGGGAGCCCCCCTCCCCCACCGATGCAGCAAAACCTTCCTGGAGAGGCTGGGATGGCACAGCGGCCGCCGCCCATGATGAGCGCCTATGCTGGTGGTCCCCCAATGCACACACCGACGTATGTGCCACAAGCTCAACCACTTCCGCCAATGGGAATGCCTCAAAACGTCCATCCACAAGGCATGCCAAATGTCTATGCACCACAGTAAGTGGGGATTTGCTGCTTGCCGTCTTCAAATTGAAGACCACGTTGCTTGCAACAAAATGGCACAGTTGTGCATCTACCTTGGCATCGTAGATCCTATTTGCTGGATTGCCATTCTTGTTGCAAACTTGTGCATTCATGTTGACTCTAGGGACGCGCTGGATTGAGAACGAAACTGAACGGGGGAGATTTTAGCAGCTTCTAGAAACATACAGTGCATCGTCCTGTCTATTGGAGGGACCTTGCCCTGTACGAGGGTTTGTATTGGCTGCAGTCGATCGATATTCCATTCCAGCTTGTGTTTTCCAATTCTTCAGAGAGTTTGGACAGAACTGTTCACATTCCTGAGCCATTTGTCCTTTTTTGTAACTGCAGGCCCTATGGCATGGGTTATGGGATGGTGCCAAGGCCTCCTGGCCCAGTGCATGCTGTCCTTCCTCAACCCCGGCCAACGCCAGGAGCCCCACCGCCAAGAATGCCGGGTGAGAAATGAGCAATCGTCTTTCTGTGCCTGTCGGTTCTCACTCTGTTGTCTGCAGGCCTGCCCCTTCTCGTGTGTTTAGGATGGTTCAATGTGCTCGAGCCTTGTCTGTTACATCGTCAAACGTTGCCGTTCACGGCTTTGCCTTGCACATTGCTGGTATCCATGGGTGTTATGTCCCTGAAAGATAGCCTGTCACACCAATTGTGACACCGTCCCATGCACTATCAACACCTGAGCTGTCTGTGCTCAAATCTAGACTGCAGGCATTCCTCTGTGCCACCTTTGAATCCTCTTCTCTGTTCAGCAGGCATCCCTCCACCTGCTCCTCCAGGTGCAGTCCCACTCCTTGGGGCAATTGCGCCTGTGTCTCGCCCTCTGGGGCAACCCCCTGGCGTCATTCAGGCACCCCCTGTGCGATCGCCTGGAATGCCACCGGGTCTGGCACCAGCTCCGGCACCAGTCCAAGTCCCAGCCAGGCCCCATGGCGGGGCGCTGTTCCCAATTGCACCCACACCTACGCCCCCAGCCCCTGCTCAACCACCGTCCGCATCTGTGGCTGCTGAGGCACAATCTGCTCAAGCTGGGGCGACTGCTACAGGGACAGGGGATCTGGAACTGGTTTGGAAGGATGAGGAATTTTCGATGGTAGGAGCACCGTCTCCTTTGCTCTTAAACCTGTGTGGCCAACATTGCGGTGGGTTGTTAGCTCGACATGAGCATGCTTGGCAATGTTGACTAAGCTGTACAATCTGCATCTTCAGAATGGTGGCAGTTGCCATGGCATCCTCCGAATTATGCTTTCTGGTGGTGGGGTAGGCAACATATGGTTGCGTACCACAGCTATGGTTGAGTTGTCCGCACTGGCATTGATGTTTCTGGTGCAGGGGCCATTTGCCAGTTGGAAAGCAGTGCTGGTAACAATGTGTTGTGATGGAAATGCAGAAGTGGTGCTTCTATTCAGGAACAGCACTCGCTGACCATGAGCTTTGGTTTTGGCAGGAGGAACAGCGTGCAAAGTTGCCAAAGTATGCTGCTTACGTTCAAAATGGGTCGCAGGTATGGGGAGCTGAGTTGCATTCGAATGAGGCAGCCGCGGGAAAAGGTGCCTTGCAGTGGTGACTGTAGAGTGGCTGTGGCTCAGAAAGTGAATGAGTGACATCATTCTCGGCCTGGCTTGTGACCCAGCAACGTTTCCACGAACACTGCCTGTGCACAGGCAGTGTGCTCCTGCGTGCTGTAGGACTGCAGCTACTTATAATCAGTCACGACAGTGGAACATTGCTTCCAAGAGCACTGGCGTATTGATGTGGCATTGTGTGTGCTGATACCTTCGATGTATTGTGCTCAAAGCAGGTATCTCAAGTGCCATGAGAGAGGTCGGCTGCAAGTGCCAATGGCTGCCACCATCTTCACAGCATGATGTTTGGACTCATGCACACATGTTGGTGGCTTGTAGGTGTGCATGGCAGGGAGAGCATGGGCACGGTGTCGACAATTGTAAACGTGAATGAGCAGAACACCGAATGTGAAGTGCTCTTGCTCTCAAATGTGGGCCTGTGGTCTCTGTTGTCTGTCCGTTGTTGGCTGGTAGTTTTGTGGGGACAGCGTGATGGAGAAGAGCCGAAGCTCACCACATGGTCACAAATCGTTGCAATGAGTGCGGCTCGCTGCAAATTCTTAAGTTTTGTGTCCTATCGGCATTGGAGACCACACTGACCTAGCCTACCAGCTCCGATCCTGTTCTCGATCGTCTTGATCAGGGCTTTATTGTCTTCCTCCAAGTGCTCAGCATTATGTACATGCACAAGTAGACAAACAAATGAGCGATGGAATCACGGGAAAGCGGAGAAACATTCAATCGCAATGTTCGCAAATGTAACCCCATGTCTATGGATCTTCTTGCTCGCTCCTCTTCCCCTTGCCCCCTTTTCCCTTTCCCCAAGCAATAACCAACCAACAGACCTATAATGAACTAAAAGACAACAAAAATGACACAAACAACACGGCAGCTTGCGGGATACAGACAGCAAAAACACAGACAGAAAACATGCCGGAGCCGCGGTACACAACCGTGGGAGGTGATGCAACCGCACACTCTAAATCGCAGTGGCACAGATTTAATCTCCGACTGTTTCCACCATTGTCTTTATTTACACTTGTGTCACATTGCCTTGATGCACTTCAAAAGTTGGCGGGTATGTTGTCTTGTCAATGTGCGCGGTATGCTGGGTCATGGCATGGACACTATAACCTATCTAGAGCGATCTCCGCCAGTTCAGCGCGAGAGTCTTTTGAGGGAGCAAGCGCATTAGTAGCCGACTGCGCATCGAGAGGATTATCTGTGCGGTGGCGTCAAGTATCGCCTCGAATTGTGGACCTTGGGCATGTGCTGATGGCGCGGAGACGGAGCGGTGGGTGCTTTAGCAAGGCACAATGTTAAGCTTGTTGTTGTACAAAGTGCCGACCTGAGTGCAAGGACTTCAGTCGCTGTTCACTCCCTATAACTTGTAGCCGATTCGCCCCTATTGAGCTTGCGAGCTGAATGCCTTCACTGGGTTCGATGTGATCATTGCCAGTATTGGAAAACATTCTCAACATATTGGAGAGGCCAAGGCGACTGCAGTGAAACAGCAACAATAGGGCGACAATTGCCTTGGAGGACTCTTGCGCTGGCGCGATTCCTGGCGAAATCTCGCAGACAGCCCAGGTCTTTAGACTCACAAGCTTGTTGGCAACTCATGCCGTAAAGCGGACTTCAGCAGCCCACACCGTGACTACGATTGCACAGGCTGTGTTTCCAGCCCCATAAGATCGCTGGTGTGCGACCAGATTTACTGTAAGCGAGCGCCGTACTGTTAAAAGATGGTCGTGTCCGCAAGGAATTAGATCATGCTAGTCATCAGCATGTACCAGTTTACTGACGTATTTCCGTCAGTTCGCTGCGTACACTGGGCCAGCCGTACGAGACGCATAGCGGCGCTGTTTGCAAAATAGTGCAGATCGCAACGTGAAAGGGGCATAGATAATCGTGCTCGGGCACAATTGAGCATGCCCGTTTTTCAATGTCCACGAATTCTTGCTTGTGGGTCGCCCCCGCAACTAAGCTGGGCCAATGCTCACAAATAATAGCTGTGAAAGCTTGAGGAGCGATGCGAGATCGCTCACAACTGCTCTAGGCGTCCCTGTGGACTCGTCCAAGTGCAGTATGGCTGCCGGAGCCTGAACATGTCTGCTGCAGATGGCTCAGAGTTCGGCCTCGAGATCTGCATTTAAAATGTTGCTTTGAAGTTCTGTCGAATGGAAGATCTCATGTGGAGGCAGAAAGTGTGCCCTTCGTACATCAACGCCTGGATTAGAGGACTGTGTCAGAGATGCCAGTGACATCTTGGTCCGATTTCTAGTCCCCGTCCAGCCCTACAAACAGATAAAGTAGATAAGACAGTGACACTATCACACCCCACCATTTCCTCATCTCTTCGAGTGGGCGGGGATGGGGATCAGGATTGAGGGGGTTCGAAGGGGGGTACGCGATGGCAGTCAACATGGTCTCACACGTGTAACCAGCAAGAAGCAAACACATGCTTACAATTTCGTCTCGGTGTAGAAAGAATAGTTGCCTGTCTGGACTTCATACAGCACTTCTGTTGCAAAATCAAAAGCACTTCAACTGGGCAACGTACCTGGGAAGTGAAAGCCACAATGACAGAGGGTGGCTAAAGCGTATGTTCTCTACCAAAAGCCACAGTTGGTGCCAAGCAATGTTTGTATTTGTGGAGTTGCCATAATCGCACTAAAAGCAGGCCAGTCTCAAGTGGACATCCAGATGTGACAGGATGCCCAGCTGCCCTCCTGTGCCAAGTCAGTCAAGGGCCAGCTGGTGGCAATGTGCACCGCTGAACCACATGGCTGGGAACTAATTACAAGCCTTCTTGGCTGCCTGCTGTACAATTGTCTTGACCATTCCACCTGCTCTTCCTATGCCCCGCCCACCCATCCTGTCACTCGCGCCTATTATTATGACCTCACTATGCATATGCCTCAGCGCCCATTGATCTTCTCAATCGCTCCAGATCCACCCCCCATCAAAATAAGAAGTGCTTGGAAGGGGAAGGCATGTGCACCACCTGCCTCCTCTCAAAGAAGAATCGCCCTCTGCAGGACCTGATGAACGTCACAGTCTCGTCCTTTTCCCGTTTGGCGTCGTTCCCACCCTTGCAGGTGGCTCTCCAAGAATTACAACGTCATCGTCGTCCCCTTCATCACACCGGGCCCTCTTGAAGCCAGTGATGCCCTTGCTGCCCACAATGACCACCTCGTTGTCATCTGGGCAGCTCTGGGCCCCGTTGCTCAATTCCGCAACCGGGTTCGCAGAAGAGGAGGCATGGTGAGCCTGTCTGGTGGATTTGGCACTCCCTTCAAGGATGACACCGTCTGGGTGCTTCTCTTCGTCGAAGTTATCCTGCTTCCAGAGCAGTGCACCCTGAGGCTCGCACCAGACTCTGCCCCATTGGGTTGGACCAGTGTTCCAGACACAGATGACAGTGGCTCAAAAGGGTTTTCAAAACCTATTCCCCAACGAGCCTTGATTCATGAAAGGGAATCAGACATGTTCCAGGTAAAGAAAGGATGACATATCTTCCAACAACAGAATCCAAAACCCAGCATGGACTGAGGCCTGTGAACAAGCTACGAGAACAATCCTACTCTTCACCATGCAGCAGCACCACAGGCAAGTGAGATATCTTGTAACCGACTTGCTAGTGCATCAAACTCAACAGTCCAATGCATATGGTATGTCAGGTCTTTCAACATATTATCAACAGGGCACAACCATCAAATGCCAAAACACTGCAGAGCGGCATAACAATGTGCCCTTCAGAATCCATCAGCAGCATCAAATGAAACTAACACGAGTTTGTTCAGGTGTTTTTTGGCCAATAAGCACACAAGCTGCACATCTGGTGAATGTCAGCAGAACAACCAATCGCACGTGTGCGATGACAGGATTGCCAGGACTGCTGCAAGAACAAATCAATTGTACCATGACAAAAGAGCCATTGGCAAGTGCATTAGGGCAGTCTTATGCTGTCGACTGAGCCCAAAGGTTGGAAACACAGTTGCATCTAGGATGCCGCAACTCTGCTTTGAGTGCATCTGCTGAAAATTGTGAAGCAATTTGCTCTTGTACATTCAGTAAAATTATGGAGACAGCTGCTGTGCATATACAGCTGTGTCAACAATCTGATTTGACGGTCTTGCCCGAGCTCCAAGTCACTCAACATTGATCCCATTGCAGTCCAATGCGATTCCATACAATTCAATGGACTTGAAGCTGTGTTGACAGTTCGTCTCTGCAGCAAGTAATTGTGAACTTGGCCTTCCCATATACCTGGTGAGACACTACGATTTTCACTGAGAAGTGCTGCGATTGATCTTGCACGTCCACAATTGCGCCATTCCCAATGCCTCCACCAGGCAGGGCAGATAGCGTTTTCGGAAGCCAACTTGAGTACATTTCCAGCTCATCATCCTCCAATCCATCGCCTTCCTCATACAAGAAGTCCCCACACATAATTGTGGGCATGTTGAAAGACAAACGGCTCTTAAGAACCTGTTCAAACCAACACCATGGTTTTGTTACCTTAATAGTGAGCCAAGGGCTTGGGAATCACAGCCACTTTCCATTTTTGCATGGCACTACCAATCCTCTCCCTGCCAAAACACTACAAGCCGATATTGCAGTGCCTTTGGGTCCACATTCATAATACAAGCATTCGTCCAGGTTACACTAGGAGATCTTCAAGTGGCCACCATTCATGTGCAGGTAGTGAACATCACTACATTCCACTGCTTTTGCAACGATCTGTGTTGCTATGGGGCAATTGTGCCTGCCACGGGTGCTGTGGCCAGTTAGATGCAAAGCAATCGCAGCAAATAGCAGACATCGCCCAGAAGATCTTGATGGACAATGCAAATAATGCTACAAGCCCGCCACACATTTTCCGCTATTTGGGCTCATTTCCGATGATGGGAATCACGGTGTGGCAAGAAATTTTCCATATGCAGACCACTAAGATATTCTAGAGTTTGAGCAGGCAATGCAGAGCAAATGCACATGGTGGGCCACTACGCACAATCGCAACAACAACAATGCTCTCGTTGTTTCTAGGTAGGTCACACTGCAGTGTACAAGACCCTTGGTGAAGTTGAAAGACTGGGCAGCCTAGCCATTGCCTCGATGGCTGTGCCATGTGTGAATCCTTTCCAAGCGATGAATGGCAGGAAGTTGGTTTGGGTTCTTCAACTCATGCTTCACACAACACATTCGAGCACCCACTAACGTTTGATGTAGGCAATATGGTACTGCCGAACCCCAATGTTGTAGATTCCTGAAATGAGAGCGACAAAGGCAAATCGCTCCCACCTTGTCCACAAAAGTGGCCAATGTTGCTGTTGTTGTGTTGATCTTGAGGCTCAGCATGGAGCAGCCACAAACCATGCAGTCCGGTTTGGGCTGAGATGGCCGAGATGGGTTCAGCATGACCACATGCTTCCTCTCTGCATACTCAGTCAAATAGGTCTCCCTGCAGCTGTCAAGGTCGTTTGCTAATATCTTCAGGGCCTCCGTAACAATGAGCCCTGATGTGATGGCATTGGTGGTTGCTATGGCATGGACAATATTGCCAGCCATCCCCTTTGCATCAAAGTGGCTTTGTGTGGGGATGCCATAGGCCAGAGCCCGCAAGTTGGACGCTGCTGTGATAAAGTCGACTGCCAAGTCATCATCTTTGTCAAAGACCAAGGTGCCGATTTCGTCAGGCCGGGTGTCCACATATCTTGCTATGCTTGCCAGGAAGACCCTGGCATTCTCGCACAGGTCCCATGCCTGCGCAGCAACAGGGCAAGCAGTGACTTAAAACATGATATGAGTCATACAAGATCCGCTGTTTGATAGTTGTGCACACAAGTCAGCAAGTGCCGAGTATGGTCCCCTGGCCCAGACTGCAGTTCACTAGTAAAAGGGAACTTGTTGGTTCACAGAATGAGGTCACCTAGGGTTGCAATATTGGCAACACTGTTCACGTTCAAAATGTCCACACTGAGATTGAATCAACTCTTGCATTCCAGCATCTCATATTGTGTTTTCAACACAGTGATAGTTTCTCAGTCTATCAATGCCTCTTGTTGCCAAATTCTCATTGCTTTTATGGCATACCTGTGCATGCCAGTTTGCCAGCACACATTTGTGCACATCTGCTGACTCTAAGACATGCCCAGCTACAACATCAACATGCATGTGTTGTGTGCAACACTTGCAGCCAGTGTTCCATTTGTGCAGTGACAACTAAATTAATATTCGCAGCTGGCCATTCCGAATATGTGTAGTAAATCTTCTCTATCTGAGACGTCTGTACAACCTTCCACATATGTTTCACTTGTGGTGTGTGGAAGAGAACAAGCTGGTGGCTACCCAATATGCCTTGCTTCATCGTGCAGTCTCTCAACTGATTGACTGTTGCCCATCAGTGCTAATGTGGAATGAGCAGCGGCCAAGGCTAGCTCTGGCTTGCATTGTACGAAGCGCTGCACATTGTGGTCCAAGCATACAGGCAGCCTTGCCATGTACTATCATGGTATACAGGCCTTCCAACGAGCATATCCAAAGCCAGAAAATACACAGCATCCTCTTCGTATTGTGCTGCTTTGTCCACACCCATCAACCACAATCTGCTCGACACGAAATCAACTGGTGGTATGGTGGAGTTTCAAGCACGAAAGCTGACAAGACTCCTGTTTTCGTGCCCATGCCTGGCAGTAAGTGCCAATACAAGTGACAAAAGTACAAGCGGCGTTGTGACAGAGTAACAGCTGCAGCCAATTATGGCGCAAGCACCTTGTGGCTCTCTGTCAGTCCCAGCGCTCTGGATGCACTTGAATATCCATTTGCTGTCTCTGGCAATGTCTGCTGATCGAGAATCTCCTTCAAGTCCAACTGCTGTGGAGGACGCCTTGTCTTCCACAGTTCCTGGAACAACAACAATCGGGTTGCACATCACATGCAACAGCAGTTATTGGCAGTGCACAGGCCTTACTGAATGCAGAGGGAAAATGATCCTGACAAAGTACTGTGATTGGAACTGCACAGGCTGCGCAAACTTTGTTGGTGTTTTCTTCCATCACTTCTGGTTGAACGAGCATTCACGACAACATGGAGTACAGAAGCGACTCATGTGGGTGGGGTTCAGCTTGCTTACATCCATTGTTTTGACTTGTTCGATGTCCTGTTCATAAACTCTTCGAAATATCCTTTTGGCATAGTCGTAACTGTTCTCCCCCTGTTTCTGCAAGAAAAAGCTTGGGCCCTGGACTGCACCGTCCGCCTGACTGCTGGAGCTACCATTGACCTCCTTTCTCTGTTCGTCCAGATCTGTTATACAGGGAAAGTTGTGGTCACTGGATCAGAGTAACATCAATCACCTGAACAATTGTGCATCCCTTCCATGGCTGTGCATGTGAGGCAACTATGCACAGCAGTTGTTTCAGCCCATGCTAACAGCATCCTTTTTATTTTCTCTGACAAAAAACGTCTGCTTATTGATGGCAGTGCTGCCTCCACGGCTTTGGGACAACACAAAACACTTATTCTCCAAATGACAGGCGCATTCACATCCACGATCAAGCACCGATCGCACATTATGATAGCTGTGTGAGTTGCCCATGGGAATTGGCTGAATGGACGAAAGTGTGCAGTCATTTGCTCAAGCTCCCTGCACCAGGATCAAGCACCTGTAACAGCATCTTGCCGTCCAAAGAGCCGTGGGAACAGAAGGTCCTTTGCCCACACAACGCAGTGTATTGGCTTTTCAGGAGTGTTTCGAATGGTGCATATTGGAAATGTCTTGGGAGCAGCATGCTCATCACACTCAAAACACCGGCTGAGATCCTTCACATGGACGTTGACCTCAATATGCACCAACACACAAAAAAATCAGTGCAGAAAGCATAGCGACGTTGGCTGTGGAAACATGGAGCAAAGATTCCTGATTATCGCAGCGTTTGGAAACTAGTGAGCACATTATGCAATCATCAGATTTGGCCCAGCACAAGCAGAAATGGAAACGCATTGCAGCACGTATTATTTACTGTCCTCACCTGGCCCAAATAACCGGCAGTCCCTGACTCTATCAATGGCACCCCTGCCGCCAGACATAACCTATTCACATGTCTCCGGGCATCCAAATTGTCCAGTCCATTCAGAATGACATCAAACCCCTTGAAGTAGTCCACGCCAAACTTTAGTTCCTTTATGTTAGCCTGGTGTGCAGTGATCTTCACATCGGGTTTGAACTGCAAGACAGCCTCTGCCGCAACCTGTGCCTTGCTCTGGCCCACATGGCGCTTTCGGAAGAGGAACTGCCTGTTGAGGTTGCTTGTTTCAATCGTGTCAAGGTCGATCTGCGCCATAAGGAGGACCACAGCAGCAACTAAAGGGCATTCACAAACACTGCACTGACAAGTGTAGGATGGGCCCAAAGTGCTTCAAGCGATCACCACCCATGGGCCCACTTGGATGCTTGCAGCATGCAAGACTACAAATATCTTTCGCTTGGTGCTTGCCAAAACATGTTAACACGTGCTTCATATCCAGAGCGCTGTGCTCCTGGATGAAGAAAATGCTTTGAAATGTATGCAGCACACTTACTTGAGCAGATGTTGCGTTTCGACCTTGAGTCTTGAAGAATGTTAGGCAAATCTGAAGTTTTGTTGATAACTGTGAATAGAAACTATGAATGGCCTTGTGCAGTCCTTCGCTGGTCACAGAACAAGGCAAATAGCAGGTGCATGTGGAAATTCCCGACTGCTCGAAAAGAGCAGCTTGACGACGACGGATATGCATCGGGCGAAAGCATGATACAAATCTCCTCTCCAGACATCTGGATGGGTAACTTGTTGCACAGAATTTGGCAAGGTTGTCAGTACAATCACCACTTTTGGCTTTCACTTTTGCAGCATTGTTTTGCTCGCTCATTGCTCCCCAGCAATTCAAAGTTGTGTTTGATCAAATCAAGCACAGCGCACCAGCGAAGGTTCCAGAGAGCGCCAGACAACAGAGTTGCGGCCACGCGCTGCCCAAGGCCACGGTATGGCCGTTCCCAGATATGTCCCTCTCTCCCGGGCTGGCAAGGGTGCACAACTCACCAGTTCGATGTTTTTGAAGCCGGTCAGCACAAGCGTCTTCAGGAGCTCGCATCCTATGCCGCCGGCACCCACAGCCAGAACTCTCGCGCTGCTCACCTGCGACAGGGCCCCACGGACATCCCACACATCACTCCATTCCCAGTAGGCGTCGCCCAATTCCCCACGAGCGGGGGAAATCGCACAGCAGCCCTTCCAGGGCACCCCGAAGACATCGCCCAGTTTCACAGCCGTCATCAGAAGGACCCGGGTTGGGGTCGGCCTCTTTGCGGCCTAGCGCGGGCACAGCCCGCCGTCGCAAACGCGGCGATCTCTCCGGTTCGGGTACCTTGTCCTTGAAGGCCGGATCGGCGGTCACCTCCGGCCACATGGTGGCAGCGCCCGCTCCGACGCTTTCTGCGGAGTCGCGCACAGGGAGCGCGGCGCGGCCGCTGTCTTGGAGGCGCAGCCGACGCGCAACGCCGAGGGAAGCCGCGCCCGCTGCGCTGCCAGCTTTCATACGCGGTTCTCCCGCCTTTCCACCGGCGGACACTTACTAAGCTGGACTGTCATGCAAACCCTTCGCCCCCTACAAAATCGCGTCACCTTCGCGCACAGCCCGCACGAGCGCGAGCACGATGGAGCCCCCGGCACGGCAGCCGTCCAGCGGCGCTCGCCTGTTGTTGGTAGTCTCGGTCGTCGTGTGCCTAGTCGCGTACCTCGCCTACCTCGCAGAATTTCTGAGGAGACCCTATCCCGATGACGAATGAGGTAGCCCGTGCGTGGCCTGCGCATATTTGCGGCACGGGAGGGGCAAAGGTGCCCACCGAGTTGCGGCCTTGGGTGGCGTCGCTGGACGCGATCTTGATTCCCAGAAATCTGCGTGGATCCAGGGGCGCTAATTATGCGAGGAGCTCGGGTGTCGGAAACTCCTGGGTCTTCTGTTCCCGAGGTGGTCAGGCCCACATGCAGGAGACTGCCTGGTGACACCCAGGGCTTTGTCCCGGGACAAACGGCCCTTCGCATAGACTCTAAGGGTGTGAAGGTTCTGGGTTCCAACTTAGAGTCGGGTGTTCCTCAGCTACAGTCACTTTTTTCAGTAGGATGACGAAACAAGGAGGGAAACAAAAGTGTGAACAGCGGGCAGGATTGCTTGGACTGGTGGGACCACAGTGAAGCCATCCTGTGTGTGTGGATCCGAGAGCAGTGGGCCAGCGCAGGATTGCGTTCTCGTTCTTGGACTGCGCAGTGGCTTGTGGGCCCCTGGAGGGCAGTCACTTTGTGCGCAAAATTTGCAGACTTTATTGCTTCGTTGCCTGCACTGCCAAGGCGCACATGCAGACCACTTGACATGCAATAGTCTCCGACAGAGTGCAACGCGCGACCTGAGGGGCTTGGTGTGCCTTTTTTCAGGGTGTTCCCTGGCAATGGATTGTTTCTATTTCAAGCCTTGCTATTATCAAATGATCGCCTAGCTGCAGAGTATTGAACACGAACTTTGGGTCTAACGGCAGGGGATTCGCCATGTAAGGCGGGTAATGTGCGAATCTTTTGCCTCCATTCCTGCCTATGTCGATTCCACTGCCCCTGGCATCGCTTGATAGGTGCCAGTGCAGTGACTTGCCGCATTTTCCTGCATTCAGTCAAGGAAAATTACACCTGCCAGTAGGGTGAGTTAGCAGGCAAAATCAGAACTGGCCAAATCTGCGCATTGAGCTAGAAGCACTCTCCAAAGCACAGGCTTCTTGACCGTTATAATATTGAAGTCTTAACAATGTCAGCAACACAGTCCAGAACAACCAGCAACCGTTGCACAGCCATAATATCCACAGGCTGAGAGCACGGGGCCACCTCCTCCCACTGCAGGGCCTGGGCTGCACAAGTGCGGATTGGATCTAAACAGCGATGGCAGACAAGTCGAATCGCATCCTTTGAACTGACACCTGTTCTGCTGGACCCCTGCTTCATCTCCCGCAGCAACAGAAATCTGTACAAGTTCAGGCTGGCGCTCAGTGCCTCAGCGCGTACAGCAATATCCAGCCAGTCGGCCTGGTGTTCTGCCTGGAGAAGCAGTCGCTTCAGCAGATCCCACACTGCTGGCGTCATCAGCACGGAGCCTGTATCGTTCTTGTCCCAGGCCCGCACAACGTTGCGTGTGACAATTTGGATCATCAAGGCTGCGATCTCTGGGCAAGGTGTTGTTACCAACCTCCCAAGGGCTTCCCATCGCACTTCTTCCGACACCGACTCCAATCCACACTCTATGCAGGCCAGGGCTTGTATGCGAAATTCCAATACTGGACTGCACTCCATATGGTGAACAAGGCGATCCATCAATGGCAGCAACACCTTGGGACTCACTGCCAGTGAAGTGGGTTCGGTTGACTTTTCAGCACTTGTTGTGCTGTCTTGATCAGAGGCCACAGCTTTTAGCCTGCCCCCCTCTTCTGAGCGACTGCTTTGTGCATCTGAATGAGGAAGCTGGGCAGCGCTTGTGCGAGTGCCACTGTCACCCTTCGTTGACAGACGAACAAGCTGCAGGCCAGCAGAGGTGCAAGCAAAGGTCTGCAGACTGTTGTCCGAAGAGAGCAAGACTGTGCTGCACCGGAATGCTGTTTCGATGGGCTTTTTGTGTTCAAGCAGAAGGGAGTCGAATATTTTCCTGTCCTGGTGTGCTGCCAAGACCAGGAAAGCGAACCCAGTTTCCATCCTACTGGCAACCTCTGCATCAGGGTCTCTATCAGAGGCTGCTGCCCAAGATTCCGCCAACGACTCCCAGTCAGGAAGGCCATCTGTGCAAATTTTCAGGTCATGGCACAAGTCTGCCACCAGCTGCAGATGAAGCTGTGCGCTATCGGACCCCTCCAGCAAGCACGTGGAAATGTCAGAGCTGTTCCACGCCACGGCAAGCCTCTCCCAAAGGAGGAGGAAAAATGGCGCCATGATGTTGCGAACATCTGTCTCTCTTCCTGAACCATTGTCAGCAAGGATACCCGCTTCCTTCAGTACCGCGATTCGAACGTGCTGTGCAAACGCCAAGAAACGCTTTGAGATACGCAGCACCACTGCAGCAGCCCTGCTCTCATCATCCTCTTGACTCCCGCCGTCAGGGGTAACAACATCCAGATCGGAATCCTGCGGGCAGCAGCCCTGCAACACGTCCTCGGTGATGCGACGGACGACATTCAGAACAGGATTCAAACAAGTCGACAGGAACACGGTCTGCTTGCGTTTCAAGCGACCCAGCAAAGTCGGCAGACCCTCCAGAATGGACACCATCAAATGGTCCAATCCCGTTTGCGCATCCTCTGCGGAGGCCCAGACGTCCAAAACTTCGAGCACGCCGGCAAAAACCTCCCGCGGGGGAGCCCTACCTGCGAGAGTACTCATTATCTGACCCGCCAAAGAAGCGCACGGCGCCGGCAATCGCGAGACCACGCCCAACACTGGGCAAAGGTCCAGCGCAAGCAATTCCAGAACAGCGTCGGTGCCCGCACCGGGGCTCTGCACCACCTCCAACAGGGCGGCCATCATTGTGCTGCAGACTTCATGATCGTCGCTCGCAGCGCCTGCCTGCAGCTGTGCGCAGAAGCGCTGACACGTATCTTCCAGACCGGAGAGGTCGCCCGCCTCGTCCACGGCCTCCTTCGCCGCTTGTCCCAGCCGCTCAGCCCAGCCCATCCTGGTTCCTCTCCGACTGGATCCGGTTCGCCAGGTCCTCCGGGTTTACTGCACTTTAGTGGGGGATTAGACGGCCTCCTGCATCAATTATTCTCTCCCACACGCGGCAAACATGCCAAATCGCCCGACACACTCTACTGCGTCACAGAGTCGGGATGGAGGGACTGTCCGATGAGTGCAGAGCGGCCCCCAAGTATGGCGCCAACGGCCGGCAACTGCTTCTCGAAGCCGCGAGCAGACTCGTCGAGGAGGAGGACTTTGTGTTTGCACGACCTGGTGGGAAGAATGTCAACGACTTGTGTCCTTCCGTCAAAAAAAGCGCGAGTGTCCTGGTGCATTGGCGTACGCGCGGCAGGAGTTCGATTGCTGAGCTTGAACTTGGGCTAACTGATCATCGCAAAGCTCCTGCAGAGTGCAGCGCACCCTCACACACACACACGCTCCGCACTCTCGCCGATGTGTTAGTATTGAATACACGCTAGCTGCAGTGCTGACTTCGGCCATGACTACTGCATTGGTGGCCTTGTCTTTGTCTTCTTGACTTCCTTCTGAATGCACGCCATTTCGTTGTTTCTGCGCTGGGAGAATCTCACAGCCCCACCTCTTTCCCATGTTCAGCGCCTCCTGGATTCAACGCCAAAAAGAAGTTGGAGAGTGCCTTTCGAATCAGAGATGGTACGTCTTTGCTTCTCTGGCTTGAGTGTAACGCAGGGGTTGCAGCTTGCGCTTTCATGTGGGCACGGCTGCCATTCTGAATACCTGGAAGTTGTCTTTCTGTCCGCTTTGGTGGCAATTTCTCCGCCAGCAGCCCCTGTCCTGTCAGGTTGCAGTTTCGACTGCAAGTTGCGCATATTCACTTGCTGTTGCTGCCAACTTTGCTGCGTTGCCTTGTGACTCACATCCTAATCTCCTGTTATCTCCCAACCCTGCCCAGTACAGCTGTATGTGCATCGCAGCACGAATGTGACCAGACCAGCATGACTTCATTTTCTGCACTGTCGCCTGCCAACAACCGATGCTACAACTTGTTACAACTGCTGGCCAACAGCTGATGCTTCTCTCTTTTTGCTAGTGGCAGCTGGTCAGTTGGTTGATAAAATTGGTCATCACATCTGCATCCTAGCACCTTTCTAGCACCACCATGCTTGGGGTCTGCAACGAAATATTGAGTTGCTGCCTGTGGGCACTTGAGTCAGTATTTGCTGCCATAATTGCACGAATCCAGTAAAAATGCCAAGAAGCAACTGCAAAATTAGATAAAAGATGTCCAGGTGAAACAACCAGTGTGCTTAAACTGAACACCATGGTGATCTCATCTCAATCAAACTGACAGCACTGCCAAAAGCATCACGAATGTACAAGACGACTCATGACGGTCATGGAAATTCCACTGAACGCTGTATGTTCATGACTTGACAAACTCCTTACCTCCATACCTGCAGCAAAGTGGAGTCTTATTGCAACACGCTGATTTCAGTTCTTGCCCACACAATGAGTTGCTGAAATCATGGCCAGTTGTGGAACTCTTGGAATAGAAGTGAAACAGCACAATACCCCTTGACGATCATTTCAGTCATGATTACAAGGCCTGTTGAAACGAAAATTCTTACAGTTATCCAGATACCTCAGCACCACACACCCATGCACACCTCAAACTCAACAGACCTCCACGGAAGAAAGCGCTTATGGAAAGAAGGACAGCATGTGCATGTGAACATGTTCATTGCTGCCCTTGAGAAACTTGGGACAAGTCATGGACTTCAGCTAATGGTGTTGGCAATTATCAGATAAGAATTGTTGTTTTCTTTCGATTCTTTGGCTGACAGCACAGATGCTATGAAAAACAGTAATGTTTTTGTCTTGGAGCTGTAACTCTTGAAGACTGCCTTGTGCTAAAGCCAACAATGCAGCAGTAGCCATTCATGTATGTGTGGCCAATTATCACTAGTGGAAGAGCCACTGGTGGTTCACAAGAAGAATGCTGACAATCCGTCCACAAAATGCAGCTGGGGCCCTTTATGAGGCGATCCCCAATGATGAGAAGCCCTTTGTGCCATACAATCCTAGAGCCAAACTCCCAAGGTACAATCGACAGACCAGTGTTGAGAGTCTCACTGGGAAGTACTTGGTGCTGATTCTGGAACTGGTGGATGCCGCTGAACGGAAGGCCCTCCAGGTATTGCAGCTTTGTATTTCAATGCACCACTGGACAACTTGCTGGTTGCCGTGCATCTTGAATTGAATGTTGGGACAAGGGCCGATCCAGTCCAAATTGAGGGAAAAACTAGTCTTTGCCCAATGGAGATAAAACCTGTAGGGAAAACCAAGGGAAAGCCTAATCGGTGCCCAGTGGATGCAGAACCTAGTCCAAATTGAGGAAGAACGTAGTCCATCTGCAAAAGTAGATTCCAGGTTTGAAGCTGTTCTTTGCAGTTGTGCTGGCTTTGCAGTCGATAAGGATCAAAACCGTGTCTTGTATGGTGCCCTGAGGCGAATCGCTGCTGGGTGGAATGAACTTTTCCTCCCTTAGTGTGGACTGTAGGTGTCCGCCTCTATTTGGACTCAGGTTGACCTCTACATCGCGTTGGCTCTTACTTGTCGAAATGAATGTAGGTTACAGTTTGGGGACCATTGCTGACATTAACGACTGCCAACAGCCATCAGCATGAGAGATAGCTGCATGTGCCCAAGGATGAAGTGTCTTGTTTTCGGGCATGTGCAGATTGTCAAGCAAGACAGTGTTCTAAGAAAAGCAGCTATCGCAGCTGCATTGGCACATGAGGAAGAGCTATACGCACCTGCGTCAACAAAAATGGTACGACTTGTCTATTGCTATCCCCAGTGTGTGCTGTCCTTGCTATGACTAAGGGCTGCTCAGTTTTGTGACATCTGTGCATTGGGTTTCTTTGGGTGTCTTTTTGAGACGCTGACTATGTCAGTGGAATACTGCTGTAAGAAGATTGGATTGGAGCCCTTTCGAAGGAATGTTTTCTCTTCTGTTCCAAAGTTGTCACACAACGTGTTTTCGTGTTTGCCACGTATGTCAAGAAGTGGCTGAAGGCATCCCGTCGGTAGCTTACTCACGTTAGCAGAGTGGCGCAAGTTGGCCCCAATGGGAATGGTTCTTTAGCAGAGACAGCACAATAGTGTGCATGTCTCTTGGAGACTTTTATCAGCAGAGTAACACGCAAGAGTGTGTCGGTTTGTGGATGGCAGGCATATCTGAGTGCAGTGGCTCATGCCCGGGCAGATGAGTCATTCATTCCTGGTGACTGTCTCCACCAAGTTAAGGCCACGCATTGCAAACAAGGCACCGCGCCCGGCAAAGGCATCAAGTGGCAGGACCATGCAGATGGCCCAGGGAGACAACAGGGCTCTCAGCACGGTCGAAAACGCCCGCGCTCCCCTGTTCCCTGGGCACGCGAAGATTGTGACAGCGCAGTTGCAGCCGCTGGTGCGCAGCTGGGTGGGGACAGGACTGAGACATCCGTGAGGCTTTGCTTTGGGAGCTCGTCCGACAGCGAAAGCGAGTCCCAGGAGGCAGGGGAGCCTGACGACGCAAGCCAAGGGCAAGGTACAGCTGAGCCAGTGAGAATGCAGGGAGCGGTTTTGGTCTTTAGGCAGTGTAGGCAAACTCCCTGACCGTCATGGCGTTTTGGTCCTTTGGGCTCAGCTCAGCGCCGCTGTTCTGTTGCTTGAAAGTAGGTGGTCTGTGATGCACTGATGTGCACATGCTATCATACCCCTGGACGTGATGCGCCACGATCCTGTTGGATTGCTGCAACTGTCCAGCATCTTGTTCCGTGTCAGGCGGACTATCAGAATTTTATTTAGAATAATTCAGGGCCAGCTGTGGACATTCGTTATGAATTCGACCCACGGCACGTTTTGATGTTGCTGTGGCTCTTTTGGGTGCAGATGCGCCTCCATCATCGACAATTTCAATGCCATGGAAGAAACGCGAAAAATGGTTAGAGGATGCTGAAAATAACCTGAGCGACGGCGAGCTTCATTACACTCCTCCGCCCAGAGAACGTAGCAGTAGGACAGCAGGCGAGAGGAGAAAGGGGGAGGCTGACGACGAGCGTCAAACATGCGGGCCACCCTTGGCTGGGCTGCCAGGGTCTGACATCTTGTCGAGGAAAGACGTGAGGCCTGACGTGATCCAGTGCGGAAGGCCAACAGGTGGGATGGATGGGTTGAGTCATGAACAAAGCGAGCAAGCAGCAACACCAGCAGGACACTGCCACAGGAATCCAAGTATGCTGCCGCAAGGGTGGGAGAGCCCTGATGCTGAAAAATCTGCTGCAGTAAGGGAGCAGGTTGTGCGATTCGTTCGCGGTGTGTTGAAGCCATTCTTCAAGGCCAGCATCGTTTCCAAGGAGATGTACAAAGAGGTGGCCAAAAAGTCTGTGGACAAGGTGATGGGGGCACACAGCAGGGATAGCGATGCCAGTTTTCTCATCCATGAGAGTGAGAGAATACGCAAGCTCATAGAGCAGTATATAGAGTATTGCAAGTTTGGAAAGGTGCAATGACAAGTTTCTTTTTCCTTGTGCCCCATCCCAGTGCTGAAGCAGTGTGAATTTGGAGCACAGAACTGGCAGGTGATTGGTCACTGACTGCGATCAGCAGCCATTATAGCAGGGTTTGACAAATGTTGGATGCATGATTCCTATGCGAAGCCCGCAGCTAGAACAGAACTGTTGATGCCATGAACTAGAATAGGAGATGGTATGCAGCGTACAACAAACCAAGTTTGCCTCCAGTTGGGCATCCGCCACCATAAACAAAGAATAGGGACCTTGAACACAGCTTATTAAATAGATTCCTCCAGCAAAAGAATAATCTGCTCGTCGGTGTAATCGTTTGCTTTCAAGTACTCAACGATCTTGGCCAGATTGTCGTCCACGTCCAGGCCCAGGAGGGACGGGCGTCGCTGGATGACACGAACTGGGTTTTCAATCCCGATGGTTGCAAGGTAGTCAACTAGGCGCTGGATGTGTGCTTCGACACTGTACGAAAGTATGGGTGGATGATCGGATATGATCTGGCATCAATCCAAATGAAAGAAATCGCGTCAGAACCTGTCTGGAATTGGTAGTTCACAGGAGATACTCAAACCATTGGTGCCATCAACTGTCCCTGGAAATGCAGAGATCACTGGACACTGGCAGCAGGCTCCACACTTATGGTCTGCCTTCTCCTGCTGTGCTGCTTGAGTAGGCATGAAATCTGCAGTGTCAAGAAAGCACCACTCCAAATTTGCCACAAGCGACTTCATCAGAGAATAATTGAGCACTGCCCAGATTCAGTATTCTGTCAACAGAGGTGCTAATACTTGAGGATGTAGGTGTATAAGGAGGCGGCCTACCACCAGGACAAATCTAACGTTGCAAAGCATCTTGCACATCCACGTGTTGTTAGGCCACGCCACACTGCAGTCACCTTTATGATATCTTCCTGTGTCAAATCCAGTGTCTGCAGGTAGCGCACTACTGGTTTCATGTCCTCTTCAACGCTCAATTGCCGGGCCTGCATGTGACAGCCATCACACAAAGCGCCCATTTGAAAGGATGCACGAATAGGACAAACAGCCAGATTGCATT